CAAGGGGTGTGGGATATATTCAGTTCAACTCAGTTTTATTAAGGGAAAAGAGGCAGAAGAAAAACAATTACCGGAAATCCACCAAGAGACAGCATTTGAAAACACTCGACCGGTACATTGATGACGAATGTGGTATCAATGAAGGAACCGACAGCCAGGGGACCCCAGAAGCAGAGGAATGCAAACAGCAGGAGCAAAAGACCGACAGTGTACTTCGTAACGATGCTCCGCCTTTGGCCTAGGGGGGTAGGGTAGGCGATTTCGGACCGACGCCAACACTTCATTAGGAAGACTTTCGCATAGATATCTTCCAGTTCCATCCAATGATACAGCGAGAGGGGGCTGTCGGTCCACATCCAGTCCATGACGCTACGCAGCTCGTACAGGAATGGCATTATGAGGTACCTTTAAGTGAAAGATAAAACACCTACTTTATATTTGTGAGTAGGCTGATAAATGCGTCACAGTTTACGCGCCAAATACAGGCAAGACCTACGCTTTGAAAAGAACCAAGTTGATGTAGTTGTAGTTCTTTGTCAGGAAGTTGCCCAAAATATGTTGTGGGTAACCGCTGCGAATTTGGTAGGCCGATAAACCAAAGTAGAGACACTTGACGAGGTAAAGCAGAGAGCGCGCGAATCCCGAACGGAAGGGCCTATAGGGGAGTAAAAAAAAAGACGGTTTCATTAAACACGTGACCGAAAACACAGCTGAATAAAGAAAACGTTCAAAAATATTTATGCTGCAACGTACGCCAGAGTGATCTGCGGCAACACGAAGAATAGCCAAATGTGGATTAGAATGACGTGGAAGATCTGGAAAATGAACTTTCCAAGAACTTGTCTCCGTAGGAAAAGCGCGCGATCAGCAACGATGAAGACTGATTGGATTATGATCATGCCAATGAAAGGGGCTGGAATCTACAGGACGACAAAAGAAATACAAAAAAGACTTAGCCAAAAACGTGGAAACAGAATTCGACAGACCATCCAACTGTTAGAAAAAAGGAAAATCCCTGAGTAGTCGGGGCGATGGTCGAACCTTGTGGACACTGAATTGTACGTGCAATATGTGAAATAACTCATGAAACATGTTGGGAAAATTTTAGATTACCCCGCTTGCTTCCCTAAAACGTTGGGTATTTACCTTATTTATTTAAACTTTTCTAGAAAAGTTCCCTTTTGCAGGCGCAATTTGTTTTATCAAAACAAACAGAAATGTGCATTACCGTGTTCTAATTTTAGTTTGCACATTTAACTGTTTTGCTTTTGGAGGACAGCAATGTAACCTTCAAAAAAGGTTTGCCGTACTTGAAAAACGATTTTCCTCCGGCGCAAATCGTTACGAGGTTGCCCACAGACAGGTTTTAATTTAAAAAGCGCAGACATATAGTCCATTTTCAAATATCAGGCTTCGTACACTAAAGCGCGGCAACAACGACCACAGACAATCCCTTGTTGAAACGAACTGACGCTCACGACTGCAAACCGCTCATCACCAAATGGGTACTTGAACGTATGAAAAGATACTTTTCGAGTAGTCTAGTTTCTGCTTATAACGAAGTAGGAGGTTAACTTGATGTAATCGAAACAGTAAGCTTAGAATTACATCTGTCAGTTCTATCCAAACTCAATAGTCACATATGAAATCAAGCAAAAACCTCTCAGTTTCAATCAACTACATCTTGGGCAATACGAAAACAGGAAAATTATATCGATTTTCACAACAAACTTTGCAATGCATTAATAGACATGACGCAGATACCTTTATGATAGACTTCCTATAACACTAATTCTGACACTAAATCTAATGAAAATGTGGACCAATAAGGTTTTAAATGTGACTGTGTTTATACCGTTTTATTTAGTCAGTTCTTTACTTGGGAAAGCATTGTGCACCTCTAAAACGTGAGTGTATTCGTGTGACCAGCATTTTCGCGTTTTCGCCTCTCTCTCGAGAACAATTTTTGTGATCAACGCGTTTTCATTTATGCGCTTAGTTTAAAGTTTTTGTGGACGCAAGCACACTGGTTTTAAAATGGTTACTGATTTTCGGGGCGCCTTATATATCTATTAATTCTGGTTACTGACCTCGAAGTGATTTAAGTTAGATAAAAGTTTGAAAATAAACCATTGTCTTTTTGAGAAAATTAAAGGCTCTGAAGTGCACCCTAGAGTCCGGAAAATAGGGTAACTGTAAGAGGCAGACAACAGCCCTAAGACAAAAAATTCGACCAAGGTTCTTCTTAGAAAACAAATAATAGAGTCCAACGACTAAAGGAGACAACTACGGTATGCTATTCTTTGCCTTTTTGTCTCCAAGGACAATCGTTGCGCGACAGAGGGAGAGAGTTGGGTTGAATAAAAAAAGGTAAAAAAGCAAGGCTCAGAAACGCACCCGGTTGGTCTTGATGAATTCAAACGCATTGTCGCCCATTCCGGTCTGAAAAAAAGAGAGCAAAGCAAAAGCTAGCACACACGCACGCGCATTTAAATTAGCGTTGCAGTCGATGCCTTCTCCGTAGCAGTGGAGAAGAACAAACTTTCTCAGATGCAAAGGCAGTTAAAGGTTGGCTTATGTCTGCGGTATTGCCCAATGGCATGAAAATGTGCAGATAAAGACTAAAAACGAAAGGTATAGGGGCAAACCAATCAATTATCGGTGGCGCAAGCCTGAAGGTGGCTGTGCAGGGCTCCATACGCTGATGACAAGTCGATACATTGATCGATTGAGTCCCCACCGAAAAGTATAAATAGGTGTACGGTGTTAGGAGCCGTCCTCATAAACTTGTGTGCGTGCAGTCAAGGTGAGACGCGCAACGCTATCGGTCCACCCACAGAAGAAGACCCGTAAGCACGCGCGGCCTTCAAGGAGCCAACATCACGCGAGGCTGCTGGATCGGGGTCAACCATAGAGATGAACCGATCGAGTCGCTACTCCCTGGAGGACAAAATCTTATGAGTTCGATCTTATAACCTTGCTTTTTTAAATACCAGTACTAAGTACGGAATAAAGACTCCCTTTTCTTACAACTTTGTTCTCCTTGGGGATTGAAAAAATCGTCTGGGACGGGAAACGTCTTGGCTTCTGGTAACATGACAACATAAAGTTTCAGATAAACTCTATGTGCAATACGAGCATGCATAGATTGGGCGGAAGATTTTAGGTGGTAAGAACTTCTTTCGATTATTCGTATGAGAACTGTCAAAGTGTCGGTTTGCAGTGAAGAAAGTCAGACGTCAGGCATCTGCTCACTTTCAAGCACAAGCCAACAAACTTCCTGGCATGGAGTTAATAATTGGCCATTTTACGTTGAAAAGCAAACGACAAATAAGCAAGCCGGCTCCGGCCACCTAGGCCCGATCCCAACTCCGATCTTCTTGATTCTTTCTTGAAAACAGGCTCAGGTGAGTGAAGAGAAGAGAGGGTGCGGCAGATGGAACGCAAGCCTATTTAAAACTAATCTATGTGTAAGTCACCGTCCCTGCACCAGCACGCCGTGGACATCGTCTGGATCGACGGTTGAACTGTTGGGAGGAACTATATTTGACGGAACGGTGGGGGCTTCGCCAAAGTCACCTCAAATTAATACCTAAAGGCAGCTTCGAACCCCAAAACCGGATGCCAGGACTCCACTACACGGAAACGTGAGATAAAACGAAGACAAAGTAACTGCGACGAAACACTTTTATACTGTGCCAGTGTATAAACCAGACAAGCTTCTGTATGGAGCACGTCTGAGTGACTAAACCGATAGCATCTCCCATCAGTGCATTGACCTTACACGGCTGTCCCAGGGAAATTGGCGCCTACAATTTATGCTCAAGATGGGTGGTTGCGGCCCAGGCGCTTTCCTTCAAATGCACTCAGCAGACTTAGCAAACCTTATTAAAAGGATTGCCCAGTACTCACGCATCTTGAAGTACCGGTCGGGAGTGTTGCACACAGAAACACGACTGAGGACAAATGAAAACGATAAGAACAAAAAGAAAGAAAGCATTTAAATAAAAATTCTCAAATTCATTAACGCAGGAGGGAGCTTACGCTTGGTCCGAAAGACTGGTAGCCGAAG